GGGGCAGGGGGGCAGGAGGAGGGACAGGGGGCAGGAGCAGGTCCCACCGCTCTGCAAAGCTGGTCTGTCGATCTCGACCTGCCTGGACAGGCCAGGGATGCCACCTGCAAACACCCACTTGGCTCCAAATCTGAGAGACTATCTATCCCCAGCCGGAGGGAGCAGGGACACGGTCCCCACCCACGTGTCCCCAACGGGAGCTGCTCAGTGGGGGCAGCCCCCGCAGCACCCAGGCCGCACCCTGCTGTGGGGAGCCCCCTGCTGGTGGCCCCCATGGGCTCGGTGGAGCCTCGAGTCTGGGTGAAGGGCTGTGGGTGCGCTATTCTGGCCGGTGAGACTCCCACTTCTGGGACCCCTTCCTAACAGTGGTGTCCCCCACACAGGGCGCCCAGCCTTCCTGCGGGCTCTTTAAAATCCAGCAGACCCACACAGCCGGTGTGGCTGAGTGGTTGAGCATCGACCTATGAACCAGGAGGTCAGGGTTCAATTTCTGGGCAGGGCACAGGCCCGGGTTGTGGGCTCGATCCCAGTGTGGGGCGTGCAGGAGGCAGCTGATCCGTGATTCTCTCTCATCATGGATGTTTCTATCTCTCTCCCGCTTCTTTCCTCTCTGCAATCAATAAAAACATGCCTACATGTGCATTTTAAAAACAAACCCAAACCTCTCTGATCTTATCGCCTGCTCATTGCAGAAGCCTCCATGAGCACACACGCACACGCACACACGCACACGCACACACACACGCGCACCCCGCCCCCGGCACTCAGTGTCCCCCACACGCTCCCCGTGGCCCAGATCTGACGGCTCCGCCCAGCTTCGCTGTGGTCGACCTTGATGAGCGCGATGTCCGCCTTCTCGTCCACGTCCTTGATCTTGGCCTCGTAGGTGGCGCCGTCCTTCAGCTCCACCCTGACCCGGTGCTTGTTGGTCACCACGTGGGCGTTGGTCACGATCAGCCCGTCCTCGGACACGATGAACCCGGAGCCGCTGGCCACCGGCACCTCCCTCTTAGAAAAGGGGAGCCTGGAACCCAGAAGGCACCCCGTCAGCCAGAGACACCACGACGCCTCCTTCGCACCCGCGCGAGGGGGCTCCCGGCAGCTCGCAGGCCACAGCTGTCACTGCGCATCTGGGGTCGCGGAGCCTTAGAACCGTGTCCTGGCCGCGCGCTCAGTGGCGAGAGCGTCGCCCGAGCACCAAGGGCCGCAGCTCCGACTCTTGGGCCTGGCTGCAGGCTCCCCCAGCCCCAGTCGGGGTGCGTGTGTGCGGGAGGCGACCATTCCGTGTGTCTCTTCCCATCAGTGTCTCCATGTTCCTCTCTCCCTCCTGCCTCCCTTCCTGCCACTCTCTCTAAAAATCAATGAGAAAAACACCCTCAGGTGAGGATTAAAAGGGAAGGAAGGAAGGGAGGAAGGAGACGGGACATCAGGCCGACTTTTACCTGCAACAAAACAATGCCACTCGCCCTGGCCGGTGTGGCTCAGTGGGTAGAGCGCCGGTGGACTGAAGGGTCCTGGGTTCGATTCTGGTCAAGGGCACGCACCTGGGTTGCAGGCTCCGCCCCGGCCGGACCCTGGCCAGGGCACGTGCAGGAGGCACCCAGTGGGTGTGTTTCTCTCA